TGGCCGTCGTCAACGTTTAGAAAGCATTTTAACTGATCAAAATCGTTCCAAACGTCTTTTTTATTTGGTTTTTACGATTCTCTTCCTTAGAGGTAATTTTTGGTTGGTTTTTCTTGTTGCGTTTTGATGTTTGATTTTGTTTGTAAAACTAATATTTTTTTTGTAGGTTTGAATTTTGCAGAGTTGAATTTTACAGATGGACGTATATTGTAACACCCCTTTAAGGATGCAACATATAGTTTATAAAATGTCTATTAACTTAAAAAACACATAGTCTTTGATACCATCACTAAACATTAAAAACTTTATTTAAGTATCGTGAACAAAATTAAAACCATGAGAAAAAAAACATTATTCTAATTCTAAAAACTCCCATAAGATTTCCCCATGCATCTCTTTGCTCTAAACATCACCAACATCATTTATAACATCATCTTTTCTCGTATAACAATACGAGTTATACGATCATCGCACAAACAAAAACATGTGAGGATTGAAGTACTTGAAAAATACTAGAATGAGGGGGGGGGGTTGAATAATGTTAATGGAAAGCCACAAACTTAACAAATAAAGTACATATAAACAAAACCTATGATTGTGCTGGAAAATAGAATGAAAGAAGATATGAATAATAGAAGGAAGAAAACAAACATAAACACAATTTTGAGACACAAAAAACAATATGTGCCTTGATTATCACGAACCAGTGACACCCAAACTCTATCAGCGCGTTCTCACTACCAAATCCTCTGATTATCACGAACCAGTGGCACCCAAACTCCAACCTGCACTAACAACCCAAATTTTCAACCCCAATCAGAAGCTCCTCACGGAGGTACAATCGGAGCTCTCCAATAGGCTTCAAATATGGGCGCTGGCCAAGATGCGGGCGGAGACGTAGCTCGAGAGGGCGGTAGGGGAGAGAACGGAGATGGTGAGGGAGATCGAGGAGCGGCGGCTAGGCTCGCCAACACGCGCTGCACCTTCCACGAGTATACGACGGAGGAGATCCTATTGGCCACCGACAACTTCTATGAGCGGATGAGGTTGAAGTCCGGTAGAGATTGGAGTAATGTTTACCGGGGACGCTTCAACCAATCCATCAAGATGCTCCCTTTCTTTCTTTCTCTTCTTTTCCCAGCGAGCAATCAAAAGTTGCGGAGCAAACTAAGAAGCATAACCCCTAAATCCATTTCGCCATCCACCTGCAGAGACAATATCTTGACTGATTAATCGGTGGAACCAAGGTTTTAAACGGTGGAAAAAAGGAATGAACAGAGGGAAACAAGTTTAATCGGTAGAAAAGTGGTTTTATGGTCGCTAAGGCTGAAGAAAGGCAAAATATGGAAGAAGAATGTTGGATCTATGAAGGAAACTAGACTTACAATGCGGAGGAGAGGTGGATCTGTGATGGAGGTTGGCGATGAGGAGATGTGCTCTTGAGAGAGAAACTAGCACGCTAGGTGGATCTGTGATGGAGGTACTAGGTTTTTGGGGAAAAATTTCCTCCCAAAGACTAGGTTTTCTTGGCTTTAAGGCTAAGTTTCCTACAGTCCAAGCCCATATGCCTCGGTCCATCTGCCAACCGAGGTAATATATTTGCCATGTGAGGTTTATGCCTCAGTTTACCCTGACAACCGCTTTAGACACTGGTTGCTTAACAACCAAGGTATATACTATTTTAAAAATTACGAGACTGCCACCACGTTTTAATATGCTTTGGTTCCAGAAAAATCGAAGCGTAATGTGCGAGTTAAAAATGAGATCTTTTACTAGTGTCCAAACAATATGTCATTCACCCGTAATCTACCGTCCCAAAAACCTACTTACCAAAGTAGGGTGGTTCGAGTTGTAGCATCTCGGTTTAGGATGCCACAATTACGAGTAAAAATTTAAAATTTTAAAATTGTAATACCATTGCGAATAGTTTATTCAAATTGAAAATGTAGATTCCTAAATTATCTAAATTAACTTGTCATGTTATAGCACATTCGAACTATTTACATTATCATATACTCTCGTATAATGACATAAGTTATATAATCATCGTACACACACATAAACACGGTAAGGGTGAACAAACTGAGAATCAAACATAAGCATTATAATATTTAACACAAAGAATTACTTAACCACGATACACACCATTATCACAAACGAGTCCACCGTAACCTACCATACCACTTGTTCATTAGAACTGACAAATTTGAGCCATCCTACTGCCACACCTCATCACCGATGTCGAGACTCACTGTCACACCTTCCGGTTCGTCACAGTCACTTTGAACAAATGAACAAAATCACATGTTAATCTTGGAGAACGTGATTTGATTATATTGGAGATTTTTGTTGATTGAGACCGTGAGTGTTGGATTGGTGAAAAATAAAGAAAGAAAAGGAAGGAAGGAAAAGGAAGAAGATGAACCAAATCATGGTGTCTACAAGTGAATTTTTATCAATAATTACCGACGAACTTTATTGATAGATTTTTTCATTAGTAATTACCGCCAAACTTTACCGCCAATTTTTTTTATTGATAATTATCTACAAAACAGAAATTTCGTCGATAAAATTTATCCATGAGAATTTTACTGATAAATATTTTGTCGTCGATAAACTGATGGACTTTTAGCATTACTGACGAATTTTGGTTGTCTCTAATATCATTTTTTCTTGTAGTAAGAGCTTCATCCACCACAATGATGACAACAGTGAAAAACAATAGCCAACAACGACAAAGAGGACAAAGTAATTACGAAGGGACACACCAGAACTTTAATGAATTGGGCAACCAAAGAATGATGGAGAAAGATAAGCATGAAGAATAAGAATAAAAAGAGACACGCATAAAATAGAGAAAATGAAGCGCAAAAGAAAGATGAAGAAGAATATTAAACATTTTATACTAGTTATAACGACTAACTAATATAGAAAAATAATTTTCTATACCAGTTTTGAGTGAAACTGGTATAAAAAAGTTTGTCCAATATTATAGTTTTGTGACCGCATCAATTTCTTTATGGCTCTAGGTCTAACCATTATTCAAAAGCGACTTTCTATATTGGTTATGGGTTCAACATATATATAAACTTTTGTAGTTTATTATAGTTTGGTCATCATGTCACTTTTTATACCTATTTTGGATCCAACTGATATAGACAAACTTATCATATTTATGATACTGTCATCGTGCAACTTTTTTACGCGTTAGATTTGAACCGGAGTAAAAAATCGCTTTAAAAAGTGTTTTTTTCACTAAAAATTACTTAAAGTAAAAAAATTTATGTTATAGAAACCAAAAATTTTATTACTCAAATTAAAGTTTTATTCTGAATTTTATTGAGAAGTTCTTAATTTATTTCAAATTATCAGAAAACATTATTTCTTCTTAACAAAGTATACTTTAAATAGTCAAAGCCAAGTAAATAAAAGTGGCCCAAGAAAAATAAGGTAATTTGTTATAATGTAGTTGCAAAACACATAATTCCAACTTTTGTTATATATCCATGAATTTTTAAATTATCCCGAGCATTATAGTTCCGGTGAATGGTGGTAGAGTGAAAAACTCTTTCTATCGATCGAACTATAGCCACGTGGTAACAGTAACGAAAATAAGTCAATTAATGTAGGACTAACGTTTGATCAAGAGAGACTCATGCATGGGTCAACAGAACCAGACCAAAAAGATCACATTCTACTACATATTCCATTGTTTTTGTGCTTATCTTTTAGAGCGAAATGGTGGTGTGAAGATTAAGGATAGGTGATTACAATAGTTTTGTTCACGTTCAGGATTCTACATTTAACTAAGGTTTCTATTTCCCTATCATTATATAACAGCTAGCTAGCGTACGGTCCGTTGTCTGATCTTAAGGTAAAATAGTCTCAATCTCCTTTCATGGTTTTGTCATCTGCATGCATATTGTTCGTTGGTTCTTATTTTGCATGTTTTTTGCCGTCCCCGATCAAGCTAGAGTTTGGTTTGATATGAAGTTTTTATAATTATCATTTTGTGCTAGCATAAATGTCGTGTTCCACTTTCTTTAAATGTAATGTGGGTTTCATTCTCATTGTCGTAGTTGTCCTGTGTTTATTTTTGAAGAGAAATATGATGACCTTAACGTTAATATATGATGTAATCTTAGGATCATGATATTTTAACAACATTTTTTAACAATTTTTTGACAATAGACTATGTGTCACTGTTTTATTGGTCTGTATATTTGATACAGACCAATTACAAGCTACTACATAGGTTGTTGTAAAAAAGTTGTTAGAAAAAGTTGTTAAAAAGACATTTGCCATATTAAAATGGTTTGCATCAGCTCGAGGTTATTGTCAAATTGTGCAACTAGCAAGGAATAAGGTCAAAGAAAATATTTTTTTAACAACTTGTTTTGATAACTGTTTACAACTATTTATACGAACCAATAAAATAATGATACATAGACTATTGTTAAAAAGTTATTAAAAAAAAGTTGTTAAGATATCATGGTCTTTAACATGATAGAGTGACATAAGTTTACCTTTTGACTAGTCACGGAGAAAAATTGTCACTGGTTTTGGTGAAGATTTTGGTATGTTTTTTGAGCATTTACTCTCTTTTGTATATGGCTTTTGGTACAAAGGGAAAGTGAATTTTACATTCTTCATAAATGGTATGTTTCTGTTAAGTGTAGCTATCATGCGGTTGGTTTGTATTTTGGAAGCTTGTGATATCATTACACGCATGCAGAAACTAAAAATTTTCTATTCCACATGATTGAAGTTAGACATTAAGGGTCCGCTATCATAAAAACTTTTTATCATCTCGTGATATACAATGTCATTTTAGAATTGTTTAATTCCATTATTACCGGTTTTGCATATAGACTATTTTGATGAACGTCTCTTTGCAATTCCTATACTTCACACGCAAACTCAAACTGAGCTTTATAATATGAAATCTCTACTATAGAAACCTGTTTAATTTTTCTGAATGTTTTCGTGATTATTTTTTCCATCATTTTCTGCCCCTTACAAACAGACCTTTGAAGACAAAACAAGAGAAGAAGAATCAGGAAATAATCAGCTCTGATACCATGAATATCATGGAATCGAATGACGTGGAAGAAGATGGCTTATATACAGAAGATGGGACAGTTGACATTAAGAACCAACCTGCGAACAAGTTAAAGACTGGAAGATGGAAAGCATGCAGGTTTATACTTGGTATTGAATCCTTTTCTTATTTCATTTCATAACCTTATGTTACCTCTGGATTAAAACCACACTGATCTTATGTGCTGAAAAAAACTGACAGGAAATGAATGCTGTGAAAGATTGGCGTACTATGGCATGAGTACAAACCTAGTGAACTATCTCCAGACCCGTTTCAACCAAGGAAATACAACTGCTGCAACTAATGTCACAACCTGGTCAGGGACATGCTATATCACCCCATTACTTGGAGCCTTTTTGGCTGATTCATACCTGGGAAGATACTGGACAATTGCTACTTTCTCAATTATCTACGTCCTTGTAAGTTTATTTAAAGAACAATATTCTTTATTCTTTGTTAAATCTATATTATGATAAAATTTAATTTAATTTAAACTTTCATAATGTGGGTTCATATTTTAGTGTTGTCTATCTTCAATTAATTAATCTTTCAACTCTTTTTTATTTATAAGAGTATGCCTTCATTTTATGACACCTATAAACCTACATTTTTGTTTTCTCTTTAGGTGTTAATACACCTTTTTTATATCTATCAATATTTTTCTTTTTATGATACGCTATTGAGAAACAGACCAATTGTAATTGTTTCTTATCTAGAAAACACTGTGGTCAATTCATTCTATTTTGAGAGTATTATGGATTTATTCATATGTATTGTTTTAGTAATAAATCAATTTTTCAAGAAATATCGAGCTATAACGTTATACTTGGCGACACGTTTTTGAAATTTTTAATAGTTTCATAATAATGTTTCAACGTATTTTAGGTTTTTCTTTTAAAACATAAGTATAAAAAAAATTGCATTCTCCCTGTCTTAACAATAACATAAGTTAATAAAAACTAATTATATTTTTATAACACGTTTTGCAGTTTTTATGTATTTTTTCTTGTTTGTCCTTCTTACATAATGTATGTATTTATATTTTTTATTAGGAATAATAATGTCAAAATCTGCTAATTATGAGAGTAGATTTGGTGCATTACCGATATCATTTTCTAAAATGTAAAGAAAATGAACTATTTTTATTAATTTATATATATATATATATATATATATATATATATATATATATATATATATATATATATATATATATATATATATATATATATATATACATATATATATATATATATATATATATATATATATATATATATATATATATATATATATATGTTGGAAACGTCGTCTATTAAAGATTAAAAGAAGTATAATTTTAATAGTGAATTTTATGTATAATTTATTAATCTTATAATTAATTGTAATTATAATCCGAGTTTATTTGAATAAATTTTCTCAAAATTTAAGATAGTTAATTTTGTTTGAAAATATATGACAAAAATGAATATGAAGAGAAACAAAAGTTAAATTAGAAATACCAGGGGGGGTGAACTGTTACAGAATAATAAAAGCTAGAAAATGTACATATAAATAAAATGGAAATTTTCTTTTCGTAAATTTGGGGTAATATTTGCAAACACAAGGTATCTAACACATGCTCGAAATGGAACTTGCTGGTTTTCTTTGCAGGGAATGGCAGTTTTAACATTTTCTGCTACTATCCCCGGAATAAAACCAGCATGTGATTCTAATGGTTGCCATCCAACATCAGCACAAACTGCAGCTTGCTTTGTAGGACTCTACTTGATTGCTCTGGGAACCGGAGGTATCAAACCCTGTGTCTCATCCTTTGGTGCCGACCAATTTGATGACAACGATGAGACTGAGAGGATAAAGAAGAGTTCTTTCTTCAATTGGTTTTATTTCACAGTTAATATTGGCTCACTTATTGCTTCGTCAGCGTTGGTTTGGATTCAAACGAATGTGGGTTGGGGATGGGGATTTGGAATACCTGCTGTGGCAATGATCATTGCAATTATATTTTTCTTCATTGGTAGTAGATGGTACAGACTTCAACGACCTGGAGGAAGTACCATTACAAGAATTTCTCAAGTTATAGTGGCAGCGTGCAGGAAATCTATGCTACAAGTGCCTGATGACAAGTCGCTTCTTTATGAGATTGAAGACGCAGAAGCTAACATCAGAGGAAGCCGCAAAATGCCACACACACATCAATTAAAGTGAGTTCTCTCAACCATTCATGCACGCTATAATTCAGTACCTGGCCTTACACTTAAAAAAAAGGCCATGTATTGGACACAGAATTTCATAATTTTCAACTTTAAATATATTGAATTTGAATTGATTTATTTAAAATTGTTTTCATTTTTCAAACGTAGATAAGATAATTTAATTAATTTAATTAGTGAATATGTTAATTTTATTGTTTGGAAAGTATTTCAATTATCATCCATTAAAAAAAATTATTTAAGAAACATATAATTGTTAAAATTAAAAAATATTAATATCAATTATCTTTTTGTAGTTTATCTTCGTTAAAATTAATTTTTGTTAAAGTTTTTTTTTTTAAATATTATTTTATATTTGGAAAACATTTTCTCAACTTATTTTAAATAAAGGTTATGAAATGAAAGATAAGGTGAAACCCTAATCAAATTAATTTAAGTCTAAATTTAGTGAGATCGACCTAAGTCCAAAATGAGTGTAGTAGGTTTGGGTCACAATCAAGTCGAGTTTCTCGGACCTAGATAAAATCGGATTTTTCTAAATCTCATTGAGTTGAGTACGTCAACTTGGAACATAAAGACTCACCAACAAGATAAGTCGACATATCACATCTTGAGTACTAGTTAAATATAAAGCTAGAAAATATGACACTCTTAAAATAACACTTTCACAAAGATTGAACTAAGTGTATGTATAAACTCCAAGTATTCAATCATTTTATAAGTCTTGAAGAGCCCCTATATAGCTAAGCATAAGGGGTATCTTAACAATAAAACAAAGTATAAATATGTTAATAAAAAAGACAACAAGCTTTTAGAAACTAGTTTTAAAGGAGGTGTCTTGAAAAGGAAAAAACCCAAGCTTAGTCTCAAGCCTCTCCTAAGTGGCGCCTTGACCTTCTAGAATAAGGTCAGCTTCAAGCTTATGCTCTCTCCAATATGCACATAACATGAGTGGTCCTAAGGGTGGGTTACGTAACGCCCTAATTCAGGGTATCAAGAGTCATAACTAAACCAAAATATTTCAAAATTCGTATAGCACGAAAATATATTTATAAAATCTCATCATTTAAAACGTAAAGAATTAAATCAAATCATAATAGTTCCAAAAGCATTGTTCAATTACATAGTTATGAAATTAATGAAAATAACCAAGGAAATAATAATCCAAATACATTATTCTAAAAATTTTATAACATAACCAACTTTAAATAACCCCAAGTCTTTCCCGTACTCTAGTGTATCTATCATGCATTTGCAAACATCTGTAAAACATCCTCTGGCCCACGTATAAACCCATTAGACGATCATTGTCAAAAATGACAAACAAACAAAACACAACACAAACAAGTATGGGGTAAGCTACTGTTAAAATAAACCATAGCAATTACAATATATGAATGTCAATAAAAACTTAATAATAACAAACATTGCAAAGCCCATCCTTATCATTATTAACATTTGATCACTAATCCTCTAAATTTGCAATTCATTATCACCAATCCCAAGATCCTTGATGTCATCAAGAAAAACACTCATCGTAAAAATGATTGTAAACTAAAAAAGTAAAATGATAATGAATGGAATGAGGATAATACCCAAAGAAAATAAGAAAAAATAAATAGAGAATAAAATAAGAACCAATGAGAATCATAAAAAAAAATCGATATATCATCTAATGGAAAGACCATCAGTCCACACTCCTATAACCCACCTCACAAATTGTTATACGATGGGAAAGAAGAAGGAGGAATGAAAAAAACGGAGAAAGTGGGGAGAATGAGCACGCAAGCTAATCCAAGTGTGAAAAAAAGGAGGATAAAGTTAGAAAGATAGAGAAAATCGAAACAAACGGAAAGGGAAGCCATAGACGCAGCAGGAAGAAGATAGGCGAAAGGGAGAGTGATCGTAGGAAATCAATGGGTGACGATTATGAGGGGAGAAGAAATAGAAAAGGGAAATGACGTTAATGACAGACCCCCCCAACAACAGTATTCATACAATATTTCATTGAAAGTGTTTATCTTTTGCTTTTGCCATTGATCAAAACTTAATGCATACATATTTAATTTTCGTCTTTTGCATATAAAAATCTAAATATTTCGTCTTTAAGTCTTAGCTAATCAAGAAACCACACAACTAAAAAACCTAGGCCGTGAGTCCTTGGGAAGAACGAGACTTGGTATTACAAGTTTATTACTTGAACGATTCGGTCATACTTGCCGATGAAAAAACAAGTTTGTGACAATCATATTGGTGTTCATAAATTTGTCCATCAACCAAAAAAGTACATTCTCAATTGATAGTAAAAACCATTTAATCATATGAAAGTTCCTAAATTAAATCAAAGTAAATTCTCAATTAAACCTAGAAACCCTAGAAATCATATAATCAATATGCATGTAGATTCAAACACATTATGATGCAAAAATCTTTGCTTTTAACAAGATAGAGAGATAAAAGAATAGAGAGAAAACAACTTGTAAACCAATAAGGACTTATTAGAAGTAAAACTTGTTGTAATCAAAGTAAACATATGCAGCATTACTGAAACGCTACACCTATGGAAGCCATCCGGACATATACACAGCCAAAGAATAGCTCCTAGGATCTTGGGAGAAGTCTCCAGATATGAAGTTGAAATAACTAAGATGAAAGAAAAGTCACAGAAGAGAGAGTAGAGAGAACGAAGTGCAATTAGTGGAAAGTCCCTTTTTCTGCCTCCTGGGGCTCTTTATGCGAGCTTTGTTTGGGCGCTTGGACTCTAAATAGTTGTGAAAGATTATTTTCTGTGATATATTATAATCTTTCAAAAGTATTCATTCAGATTAAATCGGTTTAGGGAAAATTTTAAAAATATTTGATAGATATTAACTCAATTATCTTATATCAAGTATCCTATATCTTCCAAGCTAATAAAAGATTTAATTAATGATAAAATTATTGTTGGTTTGGAAGATATTTTATGTTGATATTCCCAAATTAAATTCAACAACTGAATTTTATCTTTTAGATTTTCTGACTTTCCAAAATTGCACAAATGCCTTGAAATTTCTTCTATCTGCACTTTAGCCCGTTCTGAATTTTCCAAATAAAATCTGATTTTGGGCCTTGAATTGCCATTTGGACCAATAAAACTTATATTCTCAGCTGCACAAATAAACATTAGAACATCCAAGAATAATTTATGCGCTAAAACTCACTTTTTACGTCTCTTTATTTCCCAAACCCAACAATTCCAATCATCACAAATTCACTTAAAATCAACCATTTAAGCACAATTATCCCATCAAAAATTTGAATTTTAAAGCATAAATGTGGGCATAAATATGAACTCATCAAATACCTAATACAATCATCATCCCAGAAAGCACCTTAGTGAATTTCAATACACTAGCACAAACAAAAGTTGCAACTTTATTCAGCTCAAACTACTCTTTCAACACTCATCGTCTAGTTTATCATTTTGTTGGTTGGGTGTATTCTTTTAATAATACATTATTATGTGTGTACTTAATATCGAACATTTTTTATCAATACTTAAATATACATAAAGTGTGGAACGACGTGGTTTAGGGACAGTGGTTTCGGCCATGGGAGGAGAGCAAAGGAACGCGACGGGGAGTGTGGCAGAGAAGGGAGGAGCAGAAGCTTGGGAAAATGAGATATGCAATAGGCCATTTGCATTGTGGAAGAAGAAACTGAAACTGTAACTGTAACTGGGTCGGTCTAGGGTTTCAGTGTCCTTTTAATGGGCGGAAGTACTCCATAGTTTCATTTACGCCGGTTGGAGCATCACCGATGAGTGAGGTGATCGAGGCAACGACATCGCCGACAGGTGAGAGACAGCGACATCCTGGTCAACAACCACAATTTTAACAATTGCTACAAAGAGCATAAACAAACCTTGATCATCAGATTTATCACATGAGTCAGTGACAATGGAAGCAAAAAAAATGGTGGAGGAAACAGAAATAAAAAAATAAGAGAGCTAAGAGGAGGAAAGAAAGAAGATAGTGAAAGGGAGAAATGAAGGTTATGTGAGCGTGTGGGGGTGTGGGGATATTACAGCAGTGAAAAAGGGAATGCGAATGAGATTAGGGTTTTAGATTAAAATAGATAAAAGTAAAAAAATAAATATTTATATAAGGTTGTTTTGAAAATAAGAAAAGTTGAAGAGATGTTGTGTGGTGGTGGAGAAAGTAACACTCTTTTTTTTTTATAAAACATAATATGTAAAATGTAGTTAAGTGTATTTGTTTATAAGCTAAACACAAATCAACTAGTGGAATACTAATCCATTATATTTGTTCTTGTACTTTGTTTTTAAGTGGAAAATCTTGTCAACTATAATGCAAGAAAAACAGGCTCGGATCTTGGAAATTTCTCCATGCACATGAAAAAAATATATATTATTTTTTAAATTGTATGATTTCCCCACCTGACACGGTGGGTCTATTTAGAAAATATCGTTACTTTTCCAAGAGTATTTATAGAAGAGTTATTTTTCCAACATGTGACTCCTTCGAGAGGAATTGATTTTGTAAACTAGTCTTTTCTCACAAAATTTTACTTAACCTTGTAATTTAAGCAACTTTCCTCAAATTATAATTCTTCATTTTATTTTAAAAATGTTACATTGGTTACATTATCATTCTCTCAACCTTAGATATGCATCATTCTAGTAAAGAAAACAGAGGATACAACTATAATTCAAAAAATTCTTAAGTGCCATTATCATTTATTTAATACTTTCAAATACTAATATGTTATTATTATGTTAATTGTTATTATTAAACTTTGTAAAATTTAAACAATAACATAATTAACTTTTACTTGAACAGTAAAATCTTAAATATTTAGAAAGAGAACTCCTTTTGATCACAAAGTCAGTGAAACCGCTTTAAACGTGGGAATAAAATAGGATAATGATACTTTGACAATATTTTTTTGACAATATTTTAACACCATCTACGTGTCATTTTGTAATTGGTCCAAAATTACTTCACAATCAATAATAATAATCATAAACACTAACATAGACCAATCATAAAATGACACGTAAATAATA